ATTGAAAACCACAGAGGATTGTTGTACCATAATTTGGAATTTCTTATCAGTGCCGACTGACGATTCCGTCTGAGATTGTGACTCAGTGACTAGGTTCAGGGGGCTATGAAGTATGAAAAACTACTTTATAGCCTTTACATCTACTTCTGTTGTCAACCGCACAATAATTCGTTCCTCATTACAAATAAGTTGTGATTATCAGGTCAAAATGAGTCAGTAACCTTGTAGTGTTCTTATCATTATTTTTATCAACCCCATTAAATCTTATCCAACCGTAGTACTGCATTGGTTAGGTGGAGATGTAGCTTACTGTCCGAAACATTCGAGTCTCAAGCAGTGGGTCCATTGCTTAAATACACTCAACCTACTTCTACCTGGACAACCAAGTAGTATTACAAACCTTCACATAGTAAATGTGGCTCATAACCTGATACGTAAACACCTATTCTGGTTTGAGATGCATTTCTTTTAATTCATTAGCATTGATTAGGTATAAATGAGTTTTTAATCACCTAAATGTATCAATTAAAACCACTTGACTATCTTTCCTGTATAAGTTATCATTATGCAAGATGATGATGGGTTGAAACATGTGATGCAAACAGTACCTCGTATCTATTCCGGCTGAAGTAGATGGGATGCAGCTGAAACTCAAATGCGTTAAACGCCGAGTCCATAGGTTAATGAAAACCCACTCTGGTCTTCCTTCCATCTCAATCATTGATTATCCCATTCTTCAACACAACAGAGGAACCCTCCTATGATAATCTAAGTGGAATCAAACTGACAAAAAAAGTGTCTGTGATTCTGGGTTTTATAACCATCATATGCCTAAGTGAAACTCAGGAGGAACAGAAAGACAAGAAAAACTAATGTAGAACTTGCTAACAAGTGGGTCGGTTCAAGTTGTCACAACTCACTGTAGTATACAAAGAACAAATAGATGGAAAAATATTATTTTCAAAGTAGAGAAAGGTGTATGAGAGAATAAAAAATCCGAAGATAAAGGTTGTTACAAATATTCAAACTTTAGAAGACGTCAAAGAGTGGATACATCTTCTCCACTGTGACCGATTTTAAGCCCTGTCACTAAGAGTCCTCAATCACTGATTCCTCTCGTCTCGGGGACCCCAACTAGGCAGTCTACACCTACCCACACAACTCAGCCGAACAGTCAGAGACTTCTTGAATTGGTGACATGTTTTGATCTGGTCAGCCTAAGTGTCCTTCCAATCCAATTCAACTTCTCCTAGCATTACACCTTGAGATAGGCGGTGCCTTGGCAGCCGAAGTACACATCCAAATCACGTCAGTCGATGAAAGTTCACAAGCTCATCAATCGAATTTCCTGTCTTGCCTAGTACCCTTCTGACACTGATTGGTCACGAGAGAGCAACCAACCTCATATTATCTAGTCTTGAGTGCAGATCGAACACTATCGATCATATTTGCAATGTGACCACCAAGCTAGGATACTCAGCATCGTAGTGCACATTGGCAGATATTAGTTGATTGGAAACAATCTGCAGTAAGCCCTGAACCAAGATTTCATGCTTTTTGGCACTCGTCAGCAAGGTGTATCTGCAGTCTCGACGGAACTGATATCGCGCTTGAGCTTCAAATACGCTTCACCGAGTGTTGTAGTCAGCAACGTTACCACTGAGCTATTCGGGTGTAGATATGGTCGATAGAATTTGGTCTGCACTCAGGACTGGACAATATGAAGTTCGTTACTCCCCCGTGACCAATCGATGTATTTAACTCAGTCTTCTAGGGAGGTCAGTGGCGGCCCGAGTAGCTCAGCTGTAACGTCGCTGACTGGAACACTGGGTGATACACGTTCAAATCTCAGGCGGGATATCAGTTCCGCCTAGGTTGCAGATACGCTTCGCTGACGAGTGCCAAAAGACACGAAACCCAGGTCCATAGTTTTCTGCCGATTGCCTCTAATCAACAAACACCCTTCTCCTGATCTCAACGTTGCCCATATGGTAATTCCACCATACACAAGAAATGCTAACAATACATCTATAGTCAAAGATGTGTAACCGTGTCATTTCTTTCACCGTTAGCTGCCATATCACTCAACAGTATACAGGACACAATCTACTGCAGAGCCGTTTACCTATCTCTTTATAGACAGTCCCATATCCCGCAAGCAGCATAGATGACACAAGTTCGCGAATACCAAACGATACTTTTGCGTTCGGACTACGGTTTAGCTAGGCAATTACCAATTCGAGCTGATAGGACTCTCCGAGTTAGTAAAGTCCTCAACGCACTCTACCACTTCACTCACTCTTCATCCTTAAACTGGAATAAGTTGCAGATCAGTCATGAAGCATCATCTCACATTTCACAGCTGCGAAACACATACCAAACATACTCAGATCTCTGCTCAATCCATTCACAAAACCCGGAATTTCGTCAACGTCTTCACCAAACAGGACAATATCGTCTGCGTACTTCAAGTCACTCGGGAGCTCATCAGCGAGTAGGTGAATAGTTGTTAAGTTGAAGATATGTAGGATTATGTCCATTAATGCATCTACAACGATGTTGAACGTGAATGCTGACAGTGGGCATCCATGTTGAACATCACTGGCTGTCGTCGATTGAGATAACAACTCTCCATAAGCCCTTACACGGCTGTGTGAGTTCGAGTACAAAGCTTTGATTAGCGTTACATACTTGCTCCGTACTCCCTTTACAGTCAGATACTGCCACAACACGTCATGGTCGACAGAATCAAATGCCGCCTTCAGGTCGAGAAATATGGCACCGGTAAGCATGCCTGTGTCCCAGAACCTGACTAAGAGTGAAGATCTGATCTGATCTACGGTCCTTCATCTAGGTTTGAAAACTGATTGGTTTTCTCGAGTTTGTTGTTCTCGAGCTCCAGTTAGGCATCCGATAACTATGGACTCAGGGACTGTGGACGCGATACTAGTCAAACTGATTCCCCTACGGTCATCACAGGAGGACTTCTCTCCTTTCTCGTAGACTGGGATGGCCAGTGAAGTGGATTAGTTCGACAACACTACCTCTGATTCCCATACAATACCTAGTACCTCCGTCACTTTAATCAGCAATTTCCTACCTCCATTCTTGATAACTTCGTGTAGCAAGTCGTCAGGTCCTGTCGCTTTGCATTGTCACAGGTTAGAAACAGCCTTCTCAACTTCAAGGAGAGTTGGAGGATCGACATTTATTTCCCATTGAGATTCGGATTCGACGCTGGGCAACTGAAGCATTGTTGTAGGCCAGTTGAACTATGCTTTAAAGTGTTCCGTGGAACGTTGTAGGAGGTTATCAGTGTCCCATCCTCTTCAGTGAGGGTCTTATTCACCATTGTCTTCTCTTTAGTATGCTTAGCCTAAATAGTTGCCCGGTTTCCCTAGCTATGGTGCCGTCACAGGAATAGTAAAATCCAATTAGGTTTTAAAGTTCATCGTTTGTGTATCTAGCAGGTACTCTCTCCTTCTCCCACTTATTACAGCTCAGGCACACGTATTGATACTAGGTACCAGTTGAACTTCTTTACTTGAAGACGGTACTCAACTATCTGATGGCAGTGTTTCTCTCCCACATGAGTTCATCACCTTGTCGCAAGGTTTATACTTAAGCAGCTGTGAATGTATTAGATCCTGTGGTGAGGGTTCAGGTGAGTAGTTTTCTTGAAGTGGTATTCTTCGAGGACGTTCATTCTTTCCATTCTTATTTTTTTCACAGGACAACTTTATGAAGGTCTCACTCTTTTAGTTTGATTTTACGGAGGTAGGCTTTGTCACAGTCGACTCCCTAGTTAAACACTTAGAATACACAGATAGCCTTCTCCTTTGAGAACAAGATATAGAGTCTTTTGGTGACTTGATGTAACAACTTGGGAATAGTTGGGACGCATTTCACACGATGCAAATTCAGATTACTCCAATACTGATCTGCGTTGTCGTCTTGTTTAGCAAATGAGGAGGTTTAATGGTTCATCTCATTGACCACTTCACTTAATTGAGAAGTCTAATCGGTGGACAATGAAATCTTCACATGAATACAAAAGGCTTGATTGTCGTTTGCTAACTTACACCGTCTTTGGCACCACTGTGATGCCTGACTGCCTACTAAGAGTCTAGTGTGCCGTACAGAAGTTTGCTCTGTTCACCTATACACCCACAAGACATTGTCATCAAAGTTAGAAGAAATGAAAAAGATTTATGTATTCGATCACGGTCTCATTCGTAATATAGGCCCTGTGTCAAAGAACCACAACGTTAGTAACGCGAAAGTCAGGCACAGAGTTTTAAGCAAAAGAGGGTAAGTCACTTTGTGAACTTGTAAATCTTTATCAATTGTGATCGCTCGGACATGTGTTACCTACGTCTAGTCCCTGTCATGCAATGTCATTTGAAGTTGGTTTAGACTGGGAAAAGGTTAAGTATGGAGCGTTATACATTGTAGCTATGTCTCTTGCTTATGTTGACTGTCTGAGTGCTTCGTTGTACATAATATTCACTCGTATTAATGTGTGTACACTGTGGTGTGCATCTTTACTGAAAATTCTCATTTAATTACCAGAGAATTTTTGTAAATCATGTTTTGACGTAAAAATTTCCAGTGAGGTTTCTAGTATCTTATGCATAAATTCAAAACTAATTTCTACAATAGTAATTTCTCAAAATTCTGAAATCATATGTGATCTTGGTTTACAAAAGATATTCAACATATTCCTAAAGTACAACTACTAAACAGTTGCGGAATTCGAAGAAGCTCCCATGTCAATATAAATTCACTTAAATTGACGCAGTTTGTCAGCTCAACAATGTGTCTGCTATCAAATATGAAATGTGTCGATCTGAAATATAGCTAAAGATTTCTAAACTAAAATGTGGTTGATTTTCAGTGCTGACTTGGGTTTAGCATTTCCTTAAACTGTCATTTTTATATGAGTGATTACATTTTTAGTCAGTTTAATTGTTTGTATATTTTTCTTTTATTATTTTCAGAACACCACTGCATTTGGTAGTTTGAGTGACTATTCGTCTGCTGCTGCAGCCGCTGCAGCTTACCATCAATTATCACGTTGTGCTAATAACAGCAATAATACTGTTAATCGTAGTGAATTATCAGTACATAATAATTATACTTCATCATCATCTCCATCTATGTCTGTACGATCCAGCCTACAAGAACTATATCAACAACAACAACAACAGTTAACTGCCCGACCACCAATTCAGGAATTGACAACACGACAACTTTTATCTGAAGCAGCTGCAACAGCTTATGCTCATGGTTTAGGTAATTTGTTCTTTTATCTGGCTTGCTGTTAAAAATGGGTTCGGTTGTTCAATAGTAATTGGGAAAAATTACCGTACATTGGTAACCATCTGTGGTTTATTTAGAAATAATGTGTGAAGTGACTTAGTAGACCAGCTCAAAAAGAGGTAGAAGAGAACTAAGCAGTGCTGTTCGAACTATTACGATTTTTAGCTGTTATCTCACTATGATTCACTGAAGCACATGGAAAGTAGAAGCAAAATATCCAGTAATATCTAAGAAAGGTATATTAACCGATTGTGACTAACTTAATCCAGTTCATATACTTCAGGAATTCAAAGTTACCACAGTACGGCACAATGTAAAACTTTCATTGAAAGTGATCTCAAGCTACACAATGATGACGCAAAGTTTCACTTTTCACAGTTGAATCGATTACTCCTGGGAACTATGGAACACCATTCCATTGTAGTCTCAGACTTCCTATCGGTCTACACTCCCGCGGTCTCCCCCACCATAGAAACTAAGCTCTCTGGTTAACCTTGAAGTATACAGAAGTGGAACTGAGTGAAAACTTGACTGCTTCATAAGAAAATTATTTAAAACTTATTACTCATCTTGGTTTGAATTACTGGTTTCAACTGTCTAACGAAATCAGTGTATGAAGGTTGAACTTGGCCACATATATATGATTAGATTGACATGACCATCTTCAGTCATATTTCCTTGTGTGTCAGTGCTACGTGATCGTTCAGAATATAATAAAAGAAATTATTTCTTGCTTTGAGCCTTTTCGAACCTACCTGCCTTATATACTCATAAGAATTCAACGGGAACAACATGATTTCCTTGAGATATGAAAATGTCAAGTTGTTTTCGAGGTAGAATTAGATTGGGGGAAAATTAATAAGTAAGTCGAATATATGACACCGTTTTGCGAACTCACTGGTTCCTTATCTGAACTTGAGAGTGTAGAATGTCTTATTCGGGACTCGAATGGTTGAAAGTCAGTGGTTGGACAATGACAGCTTCAAACCGATGACTAACATATATTCACTGTTCATCATCCTAGGAATTTTGAGCGTCGTTGTTATCTTTGTCTGCTTGCTTTCTTTTCTGTTATGTCCTTGTTTTTTGAATACTTTTTTAACTTTATACTACCCTGTGCTAAAACTGATATCTCGAACCTCCACTTTTGTGTGGGGTTCTGCAATAGTCTGTCCTTCTTCGAGAAGACACCAGTGATACTCGATCTTGAAGTATTTTAAGCTGTTTTTTTCATCTGATTTTTAGTGTTTCTTTGATCAACAGATTATCATCATCATGTAGCAGTCGAACTCATTTATTTTATATTTTCTATATTGCGTCTACTTTAATTACCCATAGATTTACTGCCATATCAAACTTGCTTATTCTAATAGGGTGTGTAAGTCATGATTCTTATTCTTTGCTACGACGAAATGAACTGACCAGTAAGCTTTATGAGTTCAGACGGCATCCAAGACGTAGCCAGATGTTTACCAGTGTAAACATCTGGTATTCAGTCTATCAATCTAGTGGCTTGAATGGTTGGGCCCTTTGAGCTGTATTTCTAACTACCTTGGTTTAAACAGTGAGTGTTACGGACTCATGCAAATTATCTCCCACTTTATCTGTCTCTTATCCACTTTAAATATTCAACCTCCACAAACAAAGGGCATGCATTGTCAGTCCTTTTGTAACACTGAAAGCAGTAAGTAAAAGTAGCATAAGTGAACAGAGATATCAGCTCCTATAAGTTGCTAGTTCATTGCTGTAAAATGAAAAATTCAACTCACATTAGTCATCGATTTAGTCTTTTGTGTAGGAAATTGACATGAATCGATTTATTTTCTTCTGGACAGGATAGAATGTACGAATCAGTTTTTGCTGTTGAATTCCCCGTGGGGTAGTTCCTTATATGACCCGACCTAATATACACAGCAGGAGATTCGGTACCTGACCTGAATTTTCATTATTCTGATACTTAGCTGTTTTGAGGGTAGTCCCTCATCTACCTCAATTTTTTTGCCCTATTAATTCAGGTCAGAAAACCTATTCTTTGACTGGAGGACGAAGTTACTGTCTTCTATGTATCTGCATAAAAACACATACATACACGCACATCTAGCATCACCATCTTGTCTGCTTAATTCACCCTCAATTTTCGCTTCTACCACCCTGTTCACATAAAACTAGATGAGGATATAAATGTATGTGTGTGACATGAGCTCTATACTAGATCTAAACAGGCGCCATTCATTTGTTGCCCGTCTGTCATTTCCTTCAACTAACTTGACATTTAAGTCATGTGGGACAACCAGGGTGGGTTGCAACATACGTTTAGACTTTCTGCTAGTCTCGTGCTTAGTTTACTGTCCAAACAGTGAATGCTTTTTGTAGATTGTATGCTATATTGTGTGTGTGCGTGCGCACTGGTTCAGACATTCTCTGACCTTCATCCAAATGTTCCTACTGGCAATGAGCTCTGTATCGATCACAACTGTATAAAATCGATCCTACAAAAAAACTGAGAACTTCGTTGGATGTTTTTCTGTAAGTTTGTGTGTGTAGACATGCAACTGTCTCATTGATTTTGTAGTCTGATTAGACGTATCGAACAACAATCTAAAAGCTGATTTTTTTCACATCAGCTTTTCACACTGTGGGTTGTGTGGCTGATGCCGATTCTAATTATTTAACCAAATCATTTTTAGTCTGAATAATAAGTTTTGCATCACTAGATTGTACCACTGCTCACACCAGCGTAGTGTGGCATGAAGCTTTATAACAGTGAACAAATGTAGACAGTGAAGTTTCCTAATGTTCATCGAAAACATGTAGATATCTGAAAGCAGTTAACTAGTTTTCCTATATCTACGTTCTGAGCGTCTTCATAATGGTCGTGAGGAGTGATGATAGACGAAAGTGAAAGAGGCAGAGAAGGATCTAGCATAAAGCAATACTCGGCAATTATTCAAGCTAACTAAGCATACTAAAGAGAAGACAATGGTGAATAAGACCCTCACTGAAGAGGATGGGACACTGATAACCTCCTACAACGTTCCACGGAACACTTTAAAGCATAGTTCAACTGGCCTACAACAATGCTTCAGTTGCCCAGCGTCGAATCCGAATCTCAATGGGAAATAAATGTCGATCCTCCAACTCTCCTTGAAGTTGAGAAGGCTGTTTCTAACCTGTGACAATGCAAAGCGACAGGACCTGACGACTTGCTACACGAAGTTATCAAGAATGGAGGTAGGAAATTGCTGATTAAAGTGACGGAGGTACTAGGTATTGTATGGGAATCAGAGGTAGTGTTGTCGAACTAATCCACTTCACTGGCCATCCCAGTCTACGAGAAAGGAGAGAAGTCCTCCTGTGATGACCGTAGGGGAATCAGTTTGACTAGTATCGCGTCCACAGTCCCTGAGTCCATAGTTATCGGATGCCTAACTGGAGCTCGAGAACAACAAACTCGAGAAAACCAATCAGTTTTCAAACCTAGATGAAGGACCGTAGATCAGATCAGATCTTCACTCTTAGTCAGGTTCTGGGACACAGGCATGCTTACCGGTGCCATATTTCTCGACCTGAAGGCGGCATTTGATTCTGTCGACCATGACGTGTTGTGGCAGTATCTGACTGTAAAGGGAGTACGGAGCAAGTATGTAACGCTAATCAAAGCTTTGTACTCGAACTCACACAGCCGTGTAAGGGCTTATGGAGAGTTGTTATCTCAATCGACGACAGCCAGTGATGTTCAACATGGATGCCCACTGTCAGCATTCACGTTCAACATCGTTGTAGATGCATTAATGGACATAATCCTACATATCTTCAACTTAACAACTATTCACCTACTCGCTGATGAGCTCCCGAGTGACTTGAAGTACGCAGACGATATTGTCCTGTTTGGTGAAGACGTTGACGAAATTCCGGGTTTTGTGAATGGATTGAGCAGAGATCTGAGTATGTTTGGTATGTGTTTCGCAGCTGTGAAATGTGAGATGATGCTTCATGACTGATCTGCAACTTATTCCAGTTTAAGGATGAAGAGTGAGTGAAGTGGTAGAGTGCGTTGAGGACTTTACTAACTCGGAGAGTCCTATCAGCTCGAATTGGTAATTGCCTAGCTAAACCGTAGTCCGAACGCAAAAGTATCGTCTGGTGTTTCCCAAGTTGCTCAATCCGACCACGTATAAAATTATGAATGTAATGTGCTGCAGCCTTGTATATCGTATCATTTTGCTGTGAGACGTGGCAGTTGAATTTAGAAAATATGATAAGATCACAGTTTTCTGATGGATATAACTTTGCGGTATTTTTCAGTCGGTGAAATTGGAGATTGAGATTGACGAGGCATTGGTTGCTGCTGCCGGGTGGCCACCTTCCTCAGTACGCCATGTCAGTCGAATTAGGATTAGGTTGGAAGGGGTTTGATGATAGTCAGGCGAAAATGTGGCACCAACTAGTGAAGTCTCTGACTGTTTTGCTGAGCTATGTAGGTAGTTATGGTTCAGACCATCAGACTGGAGTACTCGAGTTAATGGGTATCAATAATTGGAGACTTTTGGTGACATGGCTGTGAATCGATCACAATGCTGCCTATGTATTTTGTTCACTTTCTGACGTCTTCTGAAGTTTTAACGTTTCCACTATCCTTAATTTTCAAACTTTTTTCTCGCTTACTCTTTTGTTTACTTTGATATCGCTATTTTTTCTACTCGTTCTGTGTGTGCTTCTATGAATTTTGGCGAATAGAACGGATACACTTCTGTGCTAGGTACTATGTTGGTCTTGCCATTCTGGTGTCATTTATTGGAACTTATCAATAAGGTGTGTAAGCAATCTTGGATATCTTACTTTGCTCTGTGCTTAAAATTCATACCGGTTTGTATTTCAGTCGAGTTATGTGGACAATTCGTAAATTGTTTACAAGAGATGTCAACATTTGTCAAAGTCCAGTAATTTTTCGTCCACAAAACTGTTATCAACCA